TTCCAAAAATGTAGACCCTAAAACCACTTTAAAATGCATGAATGTTTAATCAAAAAAATGAAAAAAAAACATTAGAGAAACTTTGATGCAGTTCACAAACAATACAAATTGATTCCACATCGTTTTGATGTGTTTAGAATATAAATTGTCATAAAAATTTTTTTTTACTGTAACTTTTTATCACTTCCCACACATCCTTGCTCAATGAAAGTATTAATCTTTAAAAATAATTATTTACCCGTCCTTTGAACAGTAGTGTATATACAACATTGATAATTAATCAGCATATTAGAATTTCTGAAGGATCATGCAACACTGAAGTCTGGAGTAATAACTGCTGAAAATTCAGCTGTGCATCACATACATTACATTAATATGAAAACCATTATTTTGTTTCACAATATTACCGTTTTCGGAATTTCTGATCAAATAAACGCAGCCTTGCTTCTTTAAAAAACATTAAAAAATCTTACTGTTCCCAAAATTTTTGAATATCAGTATGTAAATTAAATTAAATACATTTATGCATTTAGCAGACGCTTTTATCCAAAGCGACTTACAGTGCATTCAGGCTATACATACACTTTCTAACCAGTTACACCAAAACTAGATGAATATGGGAAGATAATAAAATATCAGTATTGAAATTGTCAAGCACATTGATTTTATTTAATGTATTTCACATATTGACATGTCAATGAAGCATTCATTTTCCAGCTATCGCTTCCATTATGGAATGTTATCGGGTTTATATCTTATCTAGTGCTCTTTTTAATCACAGAAAGGAAAACAGAAGGGCAAAATATCAAGTGAAATTACAACCAATTTATTTGTATGTCATACCAATCATTACAGATACAGCTAAAAAAAAAAAGAAACTGTACATGTGTACTTTTAACCTAAAACCTTGAGTGATATAGCGACTTCTGACATTGAAATTACAGTAGTTTTTCATATAACCTGCATGTTTAACACTGTAACACAGCTGTTATTAGCTTTGCTAACACACACAATTCCATTTTTCATACTCTTAAAGTACCATCACATACTGCATATAGAAATTATGAAAACCTTTTCACAGCAGCTATACAACATTGCAATGCTATCACCACACAAAGACAAAAGTCAATGTAAATCACACATCTGATGAGTGTTCCAGTACTAGTGAGCAGGATCGTTAATCAAAGCTGTTGATTCATAAAACAGTTTGAATAAAGAGGTTTCAATTCATAGAATACAGCTTACAATCAACCCCAACCCCCCAGAAACAATAAAACAAAGCATTTTCTTACAGAACCCCCTTCCCATACAATACAGGCTACATACAGGGGTCCCTCATATTGCCTATGGAATGTTAGTGTCTCAGGCAAACTTGCAGTTTCAATTGAAAGACTGAAGAAATTTCATTTTTTTAATCTTTAAAAATGGCACGATCACATTATCTGTCTCAACCCGTTACACTCCCCTCCCTTTTTGTAAAAACTAAAGAGTTAGAAAAAAAATAAAAAAAACAATAATAATAATAATAAGAGGAAGTTGTTTCATGACTAAATCTCCTTCAGGAAAAATTGGGAGTGGGAAAAGATTTTTCTCTTAAACGTTGTCTATAAAATGAGCTTCTAATATTGAACTACTAAAAAACCTGCTTTTTAGAAAATAGTCAATAAAAATATTCCTCTGTATTGTACAAGAAAAGAGGTATGGGAGCTCTGGTGAAATGTTATTTAGCAGCTCCCTCTTTCTAGTCGGCCTGTTCCTCCTCGCCTCCTGCTTCATCATTGTCCCCCTGTAACAAAACCAAACCAATAAATAAATAAAATCAATAAATGTTTTCAACAGACATAGCCACAGATGCATCCCTAACTGACATTTATTTTCACTATCACTCTGGACTACAAATAGATACAGGGCCAAATATGTAAGCAATACCATAGAGCAGTGGTTCCCAACCCTGGTCCTTGAGGCACCCCAACACTGCACACGTTGCATGTTTCCTTTCTCTGACACTCCAGTTTCAGGTCTTGGAGTCTCTACTAATGAGCTGATGACCTGAATCAGGTGTGTTTGATTAAGGAGACATGCATAATGTGCAGTGTTGGGGTGCCTCCAGGACCAGGGTTGGGAACCACTGCCATAGAGGACCAAGTTTTAGATGAATTATTCTAACTTAATTATAAAATGACTTACTACCTCATCTTTGGTCTCTCCGTTCTCCGCAGGAGTTTCCTCCTCAGACTCGGTCTCTGGCTTTGCGTCCTCTTTCTTCTCCTCTGGTTTGGCCTTTTCTACCTCCTTGGCCTTCTTGCCCTTTGCAGGTGCCTTCTGTAACGTTTCAGCAAAATACATGGTTAAGCCACATCCGGCAACATTTATTAATAGCAATACATCTTAATTTGATAACTGATTTACCTTCACTTTTGGCTTGGGCTCAGACTTTGGTGTTTGGGGTTTCTGCAAAACAGAATTCGGCGTAAGCTATATGCCTCATAAAAACGGTAATTATGTAAAATATGTCTTCAGAGGGACTGACAAAACCAACTTACACCTTGAAGTCTCTCAGACCGCCTCTTGGGCTGTGTGTTCATTTGATGAGGGACAAAATGAGAAGGCAACAAAAGAAACAGGCAATAAGTATCACAGTTATATGCAAAAACTTGTTATTTGTCAGTATGTGTAACAAACTTACCCCAGCTGCTTCAGTGTCATTGTTAGCCTGTACCAGAGGAAACAGAAGCTGTTAGTACGTGTATAGGGATGCACGATATATCGGCCACCATATCGGTATCGGCCAATAAATGCTAATTTTTTCTGTTATCGGTATCGGCCTGATAAGAAAATTTGGCCGATATCTTAAAGCCGATAAATAATGCATTATTTCCTTCAGAGACACTTCAGATGCGCGCTGTTCGTTTGCAGCCTTTTGTGCAATTGTACGTTGTAATATTGTGTTTATTTGATGTATATCTGATTTATCTCATATAGAATGCGTTTGGTTAAGTTAAAAGAGCGCTTCAGTTTACCAGTGATCATCTTTAGCTCAGCACACGCAGCTCAAACAGCAGTGCACAACATTAATAACTATGATTGGGAATGTCGTGTATATAAAATTCTAATGAGAACATTATTATAATAAAACATTGTGAATTCTTTGGGTTTAGTTGCCATGTTTCAGCGCGTTGTTATGGGAAGAGCGCATCCACAACAGGATCACACAGTGGGGGAGGGGTAGACCATGGGTCCTGTATGGCGTTACACATTCAACTCACAATTCACAAAAAGTTAATTTTGTCATGAAAACATGGCGAAACAAAAAATAAACTTGGGAAAATAAATAAAAATAAAACAACCGGTGATCGTGCATTTATTTGCATTAGCTTTGTCGAGCATAGCTAACTTTTTGTCGCTGGTAACGATGTTACCGAAAAATGTCCGCGCTTGAGTAACGTTAGCTCCCATGGAGGCGGGGAACAGTAACGTTAGTTCCCACAGTAACGTTAGCTCCCATGGAGGAGGGGAACAGTAACGTTAGCTCCCACAGTAACGTTAGCTCCCATGCAGGAGGGGAACAGTAGCGTTAGCTCCCATGCAGGAGGGGAACAGTAACGTTAGCTCCCACAGTAACGTTAGCTCCCATGGAGGAGGGGAACAGTAACGTTAGCTCCGCCTCCACAAACAGAATTCATTCACTTTCGACGAGCAAACACATTAAACATCTACACATTTTTTCCCATAAACCAGGTTTGCGTCGAGATTCAAATAGTCAAGTGAAAACGGGAGGTTAATCTCTTTAGTACACAACTAGTCGGTAATAACTTTCTTTAGCCACTTTACAAAGTCCGTTTCAAAGGTCAAGTGAGAAACTCAGGCGGGATACGCAAGCAAAAACCGAATTATGAAATAAACCTGCAGGGATAAACTCGTTAAGGCTTCAAATGTGTTTAGTGCAAAGGCAGCCATGACACAAGACTATAATGTGTGTGTGTGTCCTCGAGAACCATATGGAGTCGAACACAACTAACGTTACACATGTATTTACAGTTACACAAGGGGACTAAAAAAAAAAATCCCACGATGTCCTCAAATTTACAACTTCGACTGCTTCGTATGTATAAGGTTATAAAGGTATTAAAACACCGCGGTTAAAAGCAAAACACTTGCAGGACAAGCTCTTCTCCGTAACGTTACGCGGTTACACCCCTTCGTCCGATCATTACTTTGCGTATTCTATACACGACTTTAATGTCAAAGTAAAGCCGAGAATGCTCGATTCTGGAAATATCCACACGCAGTCGACGGAATATAGCACAGCTCCAAGTAAAAAGGCGCCAGATTCATGCCACAGACTCACATGCCCTAGATCACGAATGAGCACATCCAGCAATGCAGCCAACACTCGCATAACTTCACACAAAGCTTTCGAAACACGTGCATTTTTATTTATCGCAGGCTATTAAAACCATACTATAAAATAATTATTTTTAAAAATATTTTTGGACTTACTTTGCTCCTTTTAGGCATGGCTGCGTAAATCTTGTATGCTTTCAGAACAAAAAGGAAATCAATTAAAACAGCTTACGCGCTGATAAGTAAAGAGTAAGAACCGGGTCTAGGAAACACTCAAGCTACTAGCATTAATGTTCTATCGGAACACAAACTAGCTGAAACCGGATTGGATCTCCCCTTTCTATAGTCTTTTCATTATAGCTCTAACCTGATGCGAGCTACGCTCCGCCCCTCCTCGGCGGTGATTGGCTGAAACGTCTTGGCAACCACATTTCAAACCAAAGCAAAGTACCTGTGTGGATAGGCTGAGATGTCAATCACAGATTCGCTTGTATATACTTTAGGCGCCACTTTCTGCATTTATTGTTTCTGTAAGCGTGTAAATATATATTTTGTATTGATTGCGTTGGTTATATATTCCGATAATTTGAGTGCATTTAAAGAAACACGCCGCTTAAGAAAAAAATAAATAAATTGATGTCTTATAAACATCCCATGATATCTGTCGTTGCATATTTTTAGATAATATAAGCATATTATAACATTTAAGGTAAGGAACCAGTTTAAAAAAAACTGCGCTAGTGGGCTTGTATTATTGGGGGAGGACCAGACTGATGAAAAGAAAATGGCTGCCGGGTTTAACTGGTTCTTTGTGCTGAGCTCGGTGTTTCTGGTCAACCTCGTCAAAACATTGCTGCCGTCCATTTCTTCATTTGTAAGTACTGATTCAAAAGAGTAAACACATATATAATTTAAACATACATTAGTCGTAATGTGATGCCATAAATGCTCAGTCACAGCAAACAAAAGCAGCTCTGTTCACCATCTCTAGATTTGGCTAAGTTAAGTCAGACTCATTCATAAACACCACCTAGAGGACAGTTAATAGTGCCAAACAAACGTTTGATGTGGGCTAATAATATTTTACAAACCAATAAAACACACTGCACTTCTTCTATGGTATCAGATGACAGCACCATGTTACTGTGATATATATATATAATGGCACTGAATGAATGATTTCATATAATACACCATTTCACGTACGGGGTACTCCAACATACTTGTACAAACAAACAAAAAAAATAACAATCTGACATAGCTTTACCATAGTGCCAAAAACTTGCTAATATCTGTTGCATATCTAGATTATAGTTATTATAAATTGTAATGAGGACATTCAGAGTATGCTTACTATGGAAAAATTGGAGGAATGTGTGCACTTGTAACCTAGGTTTTATTTAACAAATGTAACGTTTTGCCTTTCTAGGTCTTTGTCTGTAAATCACCCTTTTGGTTCCGTTTTTGGTAATAGTGTAAAAGCTTTGAGTACATTTGATTGCAATTTAAAATGAATGAGCAGATGTACATTAAGATCTTGTGTGTTTGTTCTCATAGCTGTCCAAGATCTTCCAGAAAGATGCTGATCAAGAGATGGAGATGAGGACGGAGATCCAAAACATGAAGATGGAGCTGTCCACCATCAGTATGATGGACGAGTTTGCCAGATATGCTAGACTGGAACGCAAGATCAACAAGATGACCGATCAACTGAAGACTCTTGGTACAAGTTATTTTGTGCTTTTCTTAAAGGGGTACGTGCATTACAAGCATGTGCAGCAAAATGTCGATGAAGTGACAAGCTACAATAGCTGTGTTTCCTTCACACTGTTTTTATGCACATTTCGAAGTATCGCATCAGAATAATGGTAATGGAAACGCCAATTTTTTAGAAAAAAATCCCTTAATTCGCAAAAATGTTTTTACACTTGCTTGAGGTGGTTTTTGACTTGTGCGAAAAAGGGTTAATGTGAATAATGGGAGATGGAAACGCATTTTGCGAATAAATTCCTCCATGCGCATCAAAAGTCATGTGACTTTGCGCTACGGGAAGGCATAACCTAAAGCAGGGATCCTCAAATCTGGCCCACGAGATCCACTTTCCTGTTTAGCTCTAACCCTAATCAAACACACCTGAGCATGCTAATCAATGTCTTCAGGATCATTAGAAAATCACAGGTAGCTGAGTTTGATCAGGGTTGGAGCTAAACTCTGCAGCGCATTGGCCCTCCAGGGCAAGATTTGAGGAACCCTGACCTAAAGCAATGACCGCATTTATTGTGTTTCGTCTGAGGCACAAATAATTTATTATATATATGAAAGTTATTGTATTCAGTGGCTTTAACTTTTCCTAGTGATATTTAGTGGCAGTTTATCAGGAAGTGACGATTTTGTTCTCTTTGACTCGTTGAATGGAAACGATGCTTATGGTGCGTTCAAGTCATGTCGGATAGATCGTATTTACAAGTTGAAGGCACATGAACGCCACCACAAAGTCGTTATTACGAGTGGGAAACTCTAAATTTTCTTTAAGCACAGAGTTTCCGAGTTAGGGGCGTGTCTATGAGAAACATGGCAGAATCGATGGATGCAACATCTGTGGTTGACGGTACATTTTTGTTTAAATTGATAGTTTTGATGAAGTTTTTCAGATTAAAGTGGCTTCTTAAATTACTTTTTAAAAATATTAAAAACGCAAAACACACCTGATGCGAATTCTTTGCTCTTCATTTACTATAAGCAGAGTTAACAGACCCTGTTGTATTTTCTTGTAATTTATTAAAAGAAGGTACACCGCCATCTTGTACCGACTAAAATGACTTGAACGCACCTGACGTCGTAATTACTTGTCAACTCGTAAGTACGAACGTCGCAGGAGGACTTGAATGCAGCATTATTCGCAAATGCTTTGTGATTTTCCAATTTTGCGCATAAGTTAAATTCGCAACTTTGGATGGAAACCCGCTAATGATTGCTTTCTAACCAGCAAAACACAGAAAGAAGCCCACAAAATTGTATAGCAAACGACATGTGTAGTATTGCTGTTGAAATCAAGAAGCAATGGGCAAGTGTTAAGATATTTGCAGTCACCAGCACACCTCACTGGAAGCATATAAACTGCCTTTGTCCACTTTATAGTGGGGCGATAAGAACTGAGAAACCAAAAGGTTTGTCACTTTGCAGTGGAGAATTCAAAGTCTCAGGCCAAGTGTGGAAAATGGCAGGTGGGTTTCAGATAACGGCTTCAGCATTCATGAAATAAGACAAATGGCTTGGCTGCTGTCTGTTGCTGTCCTTCAAGTTATTGGGAATAGCATAGATATAACTTGTATGCTTTCAGAATAGCATAGCTCACCCAAAAATGAAAATTCTGTCATCATTTACTCAACCTCATATCGTTCCAAACTCATAAGACTCTGGTTCATCTTTGAAACACAAATGAAGATACTTTAAACCTGAGAGTTTCTGTCCATCCATTAAAATTGTAAAAAAAATATTCTGTATCAATAATCGAGTGGTTTCAATTCAATCCATTTCACATTTATTTGCATAGCAGGGTTCTCCAGGGCTGGATTTGAAGAAGCCTGTTTAAATGGAAACCATGAGTAGACTGAAATGTTGGTTATATTCATTGCCTGTCTGTCTTTGTTCTTTTTTACAGTCAAATCAAGAACTTCACAGCAGGCAAAAATGAAATGGATTGTAAATATTGTGTTTTACATTCTTCAGGTGGGTGAGGATTCATGTTTTAATTTGTGCTTTGATATGATTCATGTATGCATCAGTTGTTCATTTTCTCTCATGATGGCAATTTATTTAGTTTTTTGCTGTCTGTTGTTAGGCGGCGCTCATGGTCTCGCTCATATTGAAGTATTATGCAGACCCGGTCACAGTGGTGCCTAGTAAATGGATTGCTCCACTGGAGAGACTAGTAGCCTTTCCTTCTGGAATTGCAGGTATGTCCAAGTCACCAGTGGTATTTGATTGCCATTTTGGAAGGATGGTAGGATAAATTGAATTAAAGGGGTCATATGATGCTATTTTAAAGATCATTATTTGGTGTAACAGAATATGTTGACATGCTTTAATGTTCAAAAAATACATTAGTTTCCAAATACTGTACATTACTGTAGGTCCTCTATGCCCCGCCTCTCTCTTTCTCTTCCCAGGCCAGATAGGTCATATTTTAGAAGAGAGCCGGGGACAACATTCTCTGTTGTTTCCTTGGACAACAACTCTGTCCCTGTATATGAGAGTGTGGGAACTTTCCAATTTAAACCTGTAGGAATTTTTCATTTTATCATAATGAATCAGCAATATTAACTAGAGGTTTTGTTTCAACTGGCAGACTGGCCAGTCATCAAAATGTACAAACTTTTAATTTATTTTTTATTTACTCAATTAGGTTACAAATTACACGTTTTAAAAAAATCAGCATCTCTGTCCATATATGCAAGTCACTCCTCTAACTTTAGCAGCTCCTGATGTGGACAGACTGCTGAAATTGCCAATCACTCAGACAGCAGTGGGACAAATGCACCAATCCCACCACATGATGCGCTGGGGACAGAAATAGACACCGAGAGGCTCGAGTCGAGGCTGCATCGCTGTGTGCTTTCCAGCCAAAGTGGGGGGTGGATCACTGTGTCCTTAAACACATTTTCCCTGGTCATTTTATTTTGCACTTCCACAAAATGGTCATTAAAATATTCCTGGCATCCTCATCGGGATCGACGGCGGTAAGAACCTGGATAACAAGTGTGATAGTGTTTCAGTCATTCAACAGGTCACTTTGCTTGATTGTGATTATGCTTTATACAGATTGCGGAACGAACCAAGTGCTAGTTCCAAGCATATTATCAGTAACCAGCGGTGGATGTATTTTAAACTCTTAAAAACTGTTCTAACTCAAGTCAGTTTAAATAATCCTGAGTGACCTAATAACAGTTGCAGCTCCGCCAGTTTCCTTAAATATCTCTGAGATCACATTCCAGACTGCAGCAGCTATTCCTTTAAACATGAAACTGCCAGAACTGATTTCAGTTGCTCATCGGGACGATTGTAGAATGTTTATTTATTGATTTATGTGTTTTTAGTGTGTCTAATCTTTTAACTTTATCGTGAACAACAATGTTGGCTACTTTATTGTTTTGATCATGTTTAACATGTTAGAGTCTTAAAAATTAAGACAACATGTTTTAAGACTCTAGAGAGTATTAAAAATCAAAGTAGGCCTACTTTAGAAATGTACAATCTGTCCCTGAACCATGTAAATTAACCTTCAAGTCCAATGAGTGAGTGTTGTTGCAACCTGCCCTAATACAGGGTTGCAACAAGTCAGGTTCATTTTTGGATTTTCAATTTATTGTGGTCATCATTCAACATAATTGGGGTAGGCCGAGTACAGTTGTATCAATTTTTGCTTTTTGCACACATATTGACTGGATATTGATATTTTTGCACATTTAAAGACTTATCATTCCCTCATGAGGTGTCCTCATCTCTGTACAGACACTATAAATGTCATGTTTAATTCTGATTTTGCAGTAATTATTAATGCACTTGTTATGCTACAGGATAGGGATGAATGGTAGATTTCAAAGCAAAAAATAGTGAAAAAAAGTTTAATTTGTTAAAGCATAATGCATAATGTTTAACACCCATTCCCTTGCAGTGGATACACTTAAAAAAATTCCTAAATAAATAATTAAATAAACAAGGCAACCGATTCACAATAATTTGGGAAGTTAACTCATTTAAAAAATAACTTAAATACTTTAGTTCATCTAATGAGTAACAGGAAGTCTACTGAATTTAAAAATTCTGGTAACACTTTAGTATAAGGACCAATTCTCACTATTAACTAGTAACTTATTAGCATGCATAATATTAACATGTTGGCTGTTACTTATAAAGCACATATTGTGCATGACCATGTTCTACATCCCTAATTCTACCCTAAACTTAAAGGGGTCATATGATGCTGCTAAAAATAACATTATTTTGTGTATTTGGTGTAATGAAATGTGTTTATGTGGTTTAAAGTTAAATCTCACTACAACCGAACCACTCCAGAGTTCGTTTTCAATCGAGCCGAGACCACCTCGTTCAGGCGATCTTGGACCGATTGTTTTGGCGCAGATCCGAGTGCGATTGCCATTTTGTGCAATGCTTATGGGTCCAGTGGAGGGTCATTGGAGAGTGTTGTAACCCTGGCTGGTCAGTCAGGTTTTTTTCTATGTGGTAATTTGATGAGTAAAAGAAACATGTTATTATCGTCTGACATTGTCTCGGGTTACTTGCGTAACCCATGTTCTCTGAGTAGGGAAGGAGATGCTGTGTCGCTATGATGCAATGGGAACGCTCTCTGGGTGTGCCGATTGTCTGAAGCCCGTTTAGAATCACGCCAATTCATTGGCTGATGGCGTGGGTGCCACCTGTATGCTCTTACATCGCCATCCTTATACTGGCGAATGTGCCATCTGCTCCTCAGATTTCTCTGCCGAAAAAGGCCTCTTGTCGGCAGCGCGAGGAGCTTGGCAGCAGACGCAGCGTCTCGTTACCTACTCAGAGAACATAGGTTACGCAAGTAACCCGAGTCGTTCTCTTTCATAGGTCACTCAACACTGCGTCGCTATGACGCAATGGGAACGATATACCAAACACGCCAAGCTAAAGTGCTGCCGTATCTGGCCTGATGAAGAACCAGATAGTACTCCCGGCTGGTTCAAGCGGACAAGATCAAGGAACCAGGAGCCGTGTCAAGATCCAAATTATAGGACCTGATAAGAGTGTGCGGAGAGGACCATCCTGCCGCTACACAAATATCCTCTGGGGGGACTCTCCTAAAAAGAGCTTGAGAGGAAGCCACAGCCCTCGTGGAATGCACCTGAAGGCTGAGAGGTGAAGAAAGACCATGCCAGCGAAATAGCATCTCTAACCCAATGCAAAATTTTGTGCTTCGCTGTAGCAAGCCCCCGGTGGCCAGCAACAAAGCATATTAACAGCTGGGGGAGATTTTCTCTAATGGCTAGAGCGGTCCACGTAGAGCTTCAAAGCTCAGACAGGGCAGGGCATGTGAAGTCTCACATCCCCGCCTGAAGCAAAAGGAGGAGGATGAAAAAAGTTAAGGGTAACCACTTGAGAGCGAAATGATGTGGACAAAACCTTGGGAACATAGCCCGACCTGGGTCATAAGGTTACTTTGACGGATCCTCACGGAAAGGGCTCTGGCACAAGCGACAGTCTCCTGAACATTAGCAGGCAGACTAGAAGTAAAAGCTGGTGGCATTATAGGGGCCATACCCACAGCTTCTGTGGGTTGAGGGTGTCAGATCTTGCCTTGAAGCTGAGATTTAGCAGAACTTTTCTGATCGGAATCTCTCAAGGAGGGCGATCTAGAAGAAAAATCAGCTCAGAGAACCACATCTGAGATGGCCATAACAGGGCTACGAGTAGGAGACGGACCCAGCTCTCCTTCACCCTGCACAGCACCGCCAGAATTCAACTTGACAGGCGGAAACACATAAAGTTTCAGGTCCGGCCACGGGAGCGAACACATCTATGCCCAGAGATGCTGGGGAACTCAGGGAGAACCAAAGCAGGTATTAAGACAACTCCTGCGACGCAAAGAGGTCCATTTCCACCCTGCCGAACAATCCCAAATCTGGGCTACTGTTTGCCGGTTCATCCATCCCCCTGATCTGAACTTCTGTCTTGACAGAAATTCCACTGTGCGGTTCAAGGCCCCCGGGACATGAACCGATCTCCGGGAAAGGAGTCTGCCTTGAACCCAAGACTGCGCGCATGCCTAGGGCTGTCTTGGGTGCGTGACCGTGAACCCCCTTGGCGATTTATATGAGATACCACCGCCATGCTGTCCATCCTGACAATCACGTGACACCCCTGTAGTGAGGGGAGAAAGTGTATCAGTGCCAGAGAGACGGCTCACAGCTCCAGGCTGTTTATGTGCCAAGAGAGGAACTCTCCTGCCCAAACTCCACACGATGGTCTATCCTCGAAGACCACGCCCCAGCCCGTCAGAGAGCCATCCGTCTTAACCATTTGGCGACAGTAACAACGTTCATACGGACCCCTCTCAGAAGAAAGAGGGGGGTCCTACCATATTGAAAGGGTGCGGAAGCAACTGTGCGGCACCTTAAATAAGCGAAATCGAGCGGATCCTTAAATGTTTCATCCACCAAAGGAACGGCCTCATATGAAGCAGTCCCAGGGGCAGCACCGGGGAGGCTGCGGCCATGAGGCTCAAGAGCCTGCGACAAGAGCTCACAGAAACATGATGGCCTACCTTAAAGCGGGCCAAGCACGCGTTGAGGCTGGAAATCCGGGCAGGAGTCAGACGGGCCTGCATCTGAACGAAATCCAAGTGAATCCCCAAGACAACAATCTGTTGTGAGGGGGATGAGAACTCTTTTTGGCATTCATTCTGAGGCCAAGAAGTGCTCACAGAAACATTTTGGCATTCATTCTGAGACCAAAAAGTGCTCACAGAAACATGATGGCCTAGCTTGAAGCGAGCCAAGCATGCTTTGAGGCTGGAAATCCGGGCAGGAGCCAGATGGGAGCCAAGAAAACAGTCAGTTGTGAGGGGGTCAGAGGCAAAGAAACAGAATGTGGTGAAGGAGAACATCCCTGTGGTAACTCACTAATTTCCTGGAGTGGGCTAAAATGAGCCAATTGTCCAGGTAATTGAGTATACGGATGCCCTGGAGCCTCAATGGGGCTAGAGCAGCATCCATGCACTTTGTGAATATCCTTGGTGCCAAGGCCAGGCCAAAGGGAAGAACCTTGTACTGGTAAGCCTTTCCCCCAAAAGGGAACCTGAGGAACTTCCTGTGATGCTGAGCAACCTGAATATGAAAATAGGCATCCTTCAGGTCAACAGTGACAAACCAGTCTCCTGCACAAATTCTGTGACATAATAACCTTCAGCGTCAAATCTTGACCGCTGGAGGAACCTCTTCTATCACTCCCTTGTGAAGGAAGGAAAATAGTTCCCGTTGTAGCACAGAAGCCTCTGAGGCGCTGCTCACTACAGTGAGGTGAACCCCGTTAAAGCTGGGGGAGGAGGTGGAGTTGTGACAGAACTGAAGTGCGTAACCAAACTGAAATGTGCGGAGAACCCAAAGTGATACCCCTGGTAGACGCTTCCATTTGTGAAAGAATTGCGATAGAGGAAGCAGAGTGTTGCAGTCTAGAGGACATACCTGTGTGGGGTGCTGAGATGGTCTGGAGGGGATAACATCATCTACCGCGAAGGAGAGCCTCTGGTGTCCTGATGCAGGATGAGAAAGCCCACAGGGTTGAGGGCCTGGTCTGTGACTGGTACAGGGTCTGCTGGCTTTGGGAGAGAACTGAACGTGTCTCCTATCACATGAGCAGCAGGTGACAAAGAAATAGGCGGTAACTAAGGGGAGAAAGCCTGGTGCGTCTCCCACCCCCCATGTCGAAAGAGAGTGTGACTGAACGATTACTGCACACTGAAATGTGCTGGTTGGCGGATGTGACAGAAACCGAATGAGGAGAGCGTGTTAGAAGTGGGCAGAAATGTATAAA